TTTATGTATTTTGAATCCTTTATATGATCTCCTTTTACTATGACAAAATGGAGGTACCTCACTATTGTTTCTTTTGTCTTCTATTTTTTGGGAAGTGCAGGAAATCTACTCCGTAAAGTTGCCTGGAAATCCTAAACTTGGTGAAGGGAAACCTGAAAATCAAAACCATGCTATTATATTTACTCGTGGAAATGCAGTACAGACAATAGATATGAATCAGGTAGTAATTGTTTCATACAATGACTGTCGGAATTGTGTTGCGACTGACGAATTGCATTTCATCATTTATATTCTCATGGAAGATTGGCCACTGGGAATTTGTTTGTGTTTAGTGTATTAAATTCTGGATGACAGGTGTATGCAATGAAAATTAGAATCAGTGATTTACACCTGTCAGGAGAGTATATTTCCCTCTGAAATCAGATATCATCTAGCAAGAACGCATGCTGTGAATAGTAGCCGTGAACAGTAATTATGCTGTGAATAGTGACGTTAATAGTAAATTTGAAGTCCAACATCGTGTTACCAAGTTCCTTTTTTTCCTTTGAATTTCTTTGGTGTGTGTTTACCTGTGGTTACACCAGTGCCCACTCGTGGAGCACACATTTGTTGGTGTTTCTCTTGTGCATGCGACATTTGTATCTGCCTAAGGAATTAAGTTGATTTCCATTATAACATTAGATGTAAACACATATATGGAATATGTTAACCACATATCAATTGGATTTCTCGAAGTCTTTATAAGGTAGCATTATTGTCCTATTTGATGAATTGATTTGCATGATATTCTCATTATGGCAGATGTCTAGATACTTCTACTTTGTGAGCATTGTAATGCATGAGTAGGTGACACCAGGTTCCAGCTGTTAGTCTTTAAGATGTCGTTCTAGTCATATTGGTTGTAGTCTCTTAGATTTTTCGAATTTGATGCATTACAGTCTCAGTCTTGCTGTTTGAGGAAGTATAGCGGTCCTAGTCTGTGTTGTCTCTAGTCTTTGTTGTCGTCTCATAAAACTGTGGTGGGGTTCGCCTGCGAGGACAAATGATGCAATATTTTGAGCTGTGTTTTAAGTTAGTTTGAGTCAATTTACTAGTATTAGTATTTATTTTAATATTTTTTTGAGTCAAGGGCATTATTGTATTTTCTAAATTTACTGGAATAGGTCATAGTCTGACATGTGGGTCGCGGTCAACTTTTAGTGTTGGATGCTCTAGAATTTAGAGTCTTAATTTTATTTTGTATTAGCTTTTTAATTTTAAATAATTTGACTTTGGAAATCCTAATCTTTTTAGGATTAGAGATAACTTCAAGCTCTATATATGGTTACTGTTATTTTCAATAAAGAAGATAGGGATATTTTCAGAAAACTGTAGTCTTTATATTCTTTTGAGTTGTGTGATGCAATTTTAACCCTACATGTGATGCCTAAGGAACCTTACGAGTGATAACTATTCAATATTTCTATTCACGTCACTGTTCACAGCCTCTTTTACTGTTCACTGCCCCTAAACAGTCCTATTTTGATTGTACACAACTGTCCTATACATCAACAAGACTTTGTTGAGTTGAGTATATGTTAAAAAATGTAAGTTTTACTACTTCTATCATTTTCTCCAATTATTTACCCTTATGGTTTTTGCTATAGGATAACTATTTTGAGGAAGCTTTGAAAATGAGAAATCTTCTTGAAGAATTCTACTGTGATCATGGTATCCGCCCTCCTACCATTCTTGGTGTCAGAGAGCATGTATTTACTGGAAGGTTGATCTCCACATAATATTACTGTACTTCTAAGCTTCGATGTTTAGATAATCATGTCATTTTTAACTTCTTTCATGCAGTGTCTCTTCTTTAGCATCGTTCATGTCCAACCAAGAAACGAGCTTTGTGACTCTTGGTCAGCGTGTCTTGGCGAATCCTTTGAAGTAAGTTCATGTCAAATGATTATTTTGGTTGTATTAGTTGTAAAACTAATAAATTCCATGAATTGTACGTAATGTTCAGGGTTCGTATGCATTATGGTCATCCAGATGTTTTTGATAGAGTTTTCCATATTACTCGGGGCGGCATCAGCAAGGCCTCTCGCATTGTTAACATCAGTGAAGATATTTATGCAGGTATGAATGTTGTGGTGGACGCTTGAGTGACATAGTAAGCACCTATGAGTTCAGTATCTATAATTTCGGGGGTAGATATTTTGGGTAGGGTTGAAAGGCCGGTCCTTGATGAAATTTTAATCTGAGGCCGACATAGACCAAGGCCCGACTCTTGTCTAGTCTCAAGGAGCTTGGGACTATTTGTATGTCTGGCCAAATTTTCTTCTCTTAACATTGAGTAACTTGAATAAGATGCTCTCCAAGCCTCCAACCAAATATTACAGTTAAAAAGTAAAGACAACAATATTATTTAAGAAGAAAGGGAGAAGAAGAGAGATGGAGAAAGAGAGAGCAATAGAGAATAATTTGTGTGAGCAGTGTTGCCCTACACTCTTTTATTTATATTGAACCTTATAAAATATAATTACAATATTACTCTAAATAAATATAAAATATAAAAATAAGAACTAGCATAAAGTTAAAAAATGACCAACTTGGAACAAAGATTGTTGAAGGTATCACAAGACAATGGTTTGGTAAAAATATCACCCAATTGATCACTAGATTTGATATATGGAGTGATAATTTTCTTTCACATTGGGAGATCTCAAATAAAATGACAATTCATTTCTATGTGTTTGGTGTGCTCATGAAACACTAGATTACTAGGCATTGAAAATAGTTGTTTGATTATAACAATGCATCTCACTAATCCCCATACCACATTCAAGTGCAAAGGCAGAATATCGTACTATGGCTACCTGGTTAGTTAGCATCAGAAAAGGCAACAATAGTTATACATTGTGAAGATCCATATAATAATCATTTTTTGAGTACTCCTTGAGATATTGAAGGATACGACAAGTAGTCTCTCAACGAGGCTTTCGAGGAGCATGCATAAATTGACTAATTACTCCAACTACAAATGTAATATCGGGATGCGTAATTGTGAGATAGAGTAGTTTACCGATCAATCCCCTATAGTGCCTATGTCATCAAAAATTTTTCGACTAGTAGAATCTATAGGGGTATCAACAAGGTGAGCACCAAGAGTACCAGTTTTAGATAGGAAATTCAATTTGTACTTTCGTTGGTATAGATTGATACATTCCTTTGACCGAGCAACCTCAATTCCAAGGAAGTACCGAAAAAAGACCTAGATCATTAGTGCGAATCCGCTTTCCCAAATGGAGCTTAAAATTGGCAATACTATCATAATCATTACCGCTAATTATAATGTCATCAACATAAACAATGAAAATGTTAACCCCTCGGATAGAACGATGAATAAACATTGAATAAGCTAATAGAATTAAGTCGAGCAACAAGGGAAAATGTCTCAGAGTAATTAACACCATATGTTTGGGTGTATCATTTGATCATAGTTATTAAATCGTGTATCGGAAGGTGTATCGTTTTTCAAAAATAGTGTATCGTATCGTATCGTGTATTGTAAGATACGACGCAATTTTAAATAATTAATAATAAAAAAAATGTTTTTGAAAAAAAATTATAGACTTATAAAAATATAACATTTCATTAATATTCCACCTACTATTCAAGTCACCAATATAATTTACTAATATTAAAAAAATAATAAAAGGTATCAAAATAAATTAATAGTACTTATATATACTTAAAAGTAAAAATTATAATATAATGGGGTATTAAATGTAATTTTTTAATGGGGTATTAAATGTAATTTTTATACTTATAACAACAAAAAAATCTGCACCTCGTGACCCACGATCGCACACACACACAGACAGAGAGAAGAGGCGAGAGGCGACCTCAAACGCAATGGCGATGCCGGTGCCGGAGAAAGAGAGAGAAGAAGAAGAACATATCTAGTGGCTGGTACCTCGTGGTCGCAGTTCACAGCGATGAAGACAGAGATCGTGAGACAAGGGTTAGTGTTAAAAATCAACCTAGGGTTTCATCCGGTTAGTGTTGCTATTTTTTCTAATTTCAAAAATTTGTTTGATTTGATTTTGGTTGGGTGTTTGGCTGGTCTGTAGGTTTGGTAGATTGGTAATTATTGTCTTCATCTCTTGCATTTTCTTTGGCATTTCTCTATTCTCTGATTTGTGGGCTTTGGTGTCTTCATCTTTATTTTTGCTGTCAATGATTTGGTGCAAATCTACAAATCAGGCCGTCAAAAAAAAAAAATTATACAGGTTTTGCGTATATCGTTCGTATTGTACCGATACGTATTGTATCGTAAAAATGTATCGTGTATCGAATGATACAATGCAAAAACGATACATATCTACGATCCGTATCGTTTTGCCTTCGTATCATAACGTATCGTACGATACTAACAACTATACATTTAATAACCAACCGAGACTTTAAACGCTCGACAGAGCCATAATAGAAAGATATTTCACAGTGGATAGTTAATGACAACTAATGAGCTGCTTCCTAGTAGGAAGTGAAGTAAGATTCCAAGTTTGATTGTCATGAAGAGTTTTCATTTCCTCATCTATAGTTAGTTTTCATCCAGGATATGCCAAAACTTGTGTCAAGGAACTAGGAACAACCATAGAAGGTAGTGCAAAACAAAGGAATGATGATGAAATCCAATGCAAGGAAACAAAATTGAAAATGGGATGATTGGTATAGTTGTGAGTATCTTTCCTCAGAGCAAAAGGTAAATTAGAAGATGAACTAGTTGACGGCTCGGAAGGTAGGACCTTAGTAGAATCAGGTGAAAGCTGTACAGCTAGAGCATATGGAACAACCTGTAGTTTTTGGAACAACGATAAACCTGCAAGGGAGGTGTAGTAGTTGTGGAGGAAAACGATAAATAGTCTGGTACAACTAGCAACAAGGGCTCCCCTAATCGGAAAAGATTAAATCTGGTGATAGTGTATTTCTTGATTTTGAAAAGAAAGACAATGTCTCAAAGAATGTACCATCATCATTGCATAGTATCGACAAGAGACACGACCATAGCGTTGATAATCTTTCTGAGTATGAAAATATCTCAAAAAGACACTTAACTGAGTGAGGCAAAAGTTTATTATGACTTAGACCAAGAAGGTGAACAAATGCAATGTAACCAAGTACACGAAGAGGGAGTCCAAATGACGGTCTATCTGGATAAAATACTAAGAAAGTAGATTTGTTGTTTAATTTGGGAAAAGACATACAATTAATAAGATACATTGAAGTACGAACAACATCAACCCAATATAGTTTTGCACATGCATGTTAAACATTAAGGTGCGGGCAACATCCCACAAATGATAATATTTATGTTCGACAATGCCATTTTGTTGGGAGGTATGAGGACATATAGTTTGATGGATGCATTGTCAGACGGAAGAACCTTAATACGGGTATCAAACTAAACTAGAATTTCATTATAAAAAGTGCTATAAGACCTTAGACAATTCAAATCGGTCTTTCATAAGAAATACTCAAGTCATCCGAGAGCATTCATCAACAAAAATGACAAAATACTAAAAATCGAAAATATTTTTTATGCTTATAGGATCCCAAATTTTTGTATGAATAACATGAAATGAATTGGGCTGACGAATAAAAGAACTTGGAGGAAAAGTGCTATGTTTATACTTAATTGACAAGTTTCACATTCTAACATATAGAAGAAAAGCTCAAATCGGAGATAACTTGACACAGTTTTTGCAAGGAGAGAGACACAAGTAGCACTCAAGGCAGGAATAGAATCACCAAGATCTAAGTAGAGAAGGCCATTGCGCTCATTTCTCACTCCAATCACCTTCATTTTGAGGTCTTGAAAAACACAGAAAGGAGAGAATGTCACTGAACACTTTAAGGACTTTGTTAATTGACTCACAAATAACAAGTTAACAAAAAAATTAGGAGCAAATAAACTAGAGGTTAAGGGCATGGACTGAGTAGGACGTAGATCGTCCGGCCCATGTACTGGTTGAAATGAACCATCAGCCAACACAATACATGAGTTTTACAAATGAAAATTAGAAAATACACAATAATTACTAGACATATGAGTACTAGCTCCTATATTAATGATTTAAGATGACAAAGAAGTTGATTGACCTTACATACAGGGTTGCCTCCATTAGTAAGGCTGGTAGGAAGAAAAGAGAACGTGTAGAAAGTGAAGATATTTGGTGTGAGATGAAAGATCATCCTAAGAGTCCGTAGTAGGAGCAACTGCACAATTGATAGAAGTCTGATGTATTCAAAAAGTATCATTACAACCCCGATGAGTATATGTTGGTTTCTCATACTTATCCCAATAATAATTCTCAGTGTGTCATGTACCATCATAATAAATACACCCAAAACAATGATCACGACCACCATTCAATGGCACTATAAGAAATAAAAATACAAACAACTACTTTGCAGTAGGAAACTACAAGACCAATAAAACGCCATGTAACAGACCAACAAATAGGTCAAACCAAAGGCAGGGGAAGAAAATCATAACACAATGGGAAGAGCTGCGCGTCCTATTGCAAAGTCGACAAGCTCGCAAAGTACAAACTGAACTAATCAAGTAAATCAACAACCTAATAATTTTGGCGAAGAACCCATCACCATAGTGCTTAGCCTTGAAGATTGGAGAAGCAAAACAAGAAGTTTGTGAGGAGAATTTACAGTGCACCTTATAACCAGTGCACAAACTAAGGCTGTCCACTCACCAAAACAACCACAATGCATCACAGATTAGCCAAAAAAACCCAACAAAATAACCACAGAATGCACAATTAGCTAGAAAGGCATCACTAGTGGGCAGAAACCAAACAAACGACTAACCAAAACCACCTAAACTTCTTCACAAATCAACAAATGCATTGAATCACCCAATTGAGTATATGGGCCCCTTAGTCACACCCCATAGTATTGGTTTGAATCAATAGAATTGAAGAAAAAAAAATCTAAGATAAGATTATATCAAAAAACACATCAAGCAAAAATGACCCAAAAATCCTAGTTATAGATTACCCACAACCCAAGCAAATTAGCCACAACAAACTCGAGTAAAAAAAATTAAACTAACCTGAAGTCCGAATAGTAATCTTGGTGAATTTGGTCACTACAGACAACTTAACTTAAAAAAAAAAAGGCATCAAAAATTCACCCAAAACTAACTGGGCAGCTCACAGACAGCCTCCAATACTCTAGTTGCATCTCTGTGGTAGGGATTGAAGTATGAAATAATTGTCTGTCGAGTACTCTTCACGAGACACTTTTCACGCAGTATTGTTCATGTGACACTATTCAGTGGTTGAAAAAAAAACTGGAATCATTGTTTTGATACCAAGTCCAAAAGTAAAGACTACAATATTATGTTAGGATAAAGGAAGAAGAAGAGAGAAAGAAAGAGAGAGGAAAAGAATGAGAGAGTAATATGTGTGTGAGCAGTGTTGCCCTATACTCTTATTTATATTGAAGTGCAATAACAATATTACCCTACATAAATATAAAACATAAAAATAAGAACTCTAACAATTTCTTGGAACCATATAAGTTACCGTGGGTTTAGTCTGGTGTCCTATATTTGGCTAGAGGTTGTTGTTTGATTATGCTCTAAAGTTGTTTTTTAATGTCATATTCAGTTATTCTTATAATAGGGATGATGAATCGGTTGGAAAATATGATAATAAAATAAAAACTTGCATGCATGAAGATGGCATCCATATCACTTTTGGAGTCAAAGGCAAAATGGTTTTGGTTTTCTCATATACTAAATTTGTTATAAAAATACAGGGTTCAATTCAACTTTGCGCCAAGGGAACGTTACGCATCATGAATATATCCAGGTAAAGCTTGGGCATGTGTTTATTTTGGTTATATGGGTTAAAACCTTCTAAAAGAGTTTTTACAGGTTGGAAAGGGACGGGATGTTGGGCTCAATCAGGTTGCTGTGTTTGAAGGAAAGGTTGCTGGCGGTAATGGTGAGCAAGTTCTTAGTAGGGACATCTACAGACTTGGGCAGCTGTTGGATTTCTTCCGCATGCTGTCATTCTACTTTACCACTGTTGGATACTATTTTTGCACCATGGTATGCTTTTTACACACACACTATAAATCTTTATAACTTTCAATTCACTAGTTCTGCTTAAATAGAGATCTTGTTTTTGATTTAGTTGTTCCTAGTTTCCAGAGGTGGTTTAGAATTTGGTAACTGAAATATCAATATTTGTATATTGATTCCGTGATTGAGGGATATTTATATGATGTGAAGTTTATCAAGGAAGCACTCCATATGTTATTTTCTTATCTATAATTTTCTTTTATAATAGGTCCTTATGTAATATCTTTATTAAGTTGCTTGTGTTTAACTATCCCAAGTGATCTGAGGATCTTGAGATCATTAAGCCATGATACCTTTCGCATGCCAATCATCTTGCTTGCTTACTATATTTTCAATTGCCATTTGAGGTCATGCTCTATCTATAGCCTTGCATATGTTAGCAATATAGTAGGAATGTCACATAAAACTGCTGAAACTAATTTGCAGAAAATGGGAACAAAGTTAAGTTACTTTTCGTCTTGTGCCTTTTGCTTTAATCCTCCATCTCATAAGATGGATGATAAAATCACAATGTAAGGGGTGGAGTGGAAAATGTATCCTAGGGAAATGAAGATTTACATCTGTTTTTGTCAGTTCCAATGTGAAGTGCAAGAGGATCGGAAGGTTATTTTCTAGTTTGTACCTTTTCAACCTGATCTTTAAAGGACTGATGATGATTGAAAGCCAAAATAAATAAATATTTAAAGGGGAATGGTAGTATGCCCTACTATAGGATGGCGATAGTTTCCTACAGTACTCAGGTTGGGTCATTATCCCGGTGGTCCCCTTGATCTAGGGAGTTGGGAGGAGTTGATCGGAGGCAGTCTTAACCTTTGACATTATTTGCATTAAGTGGCTTCTTTCAAATTTGAACTTGCAACCTCATGATTTTTAGCCCGAGACTTTCTACTTCCCGTGGCAATGGCACCTTTTCATTGGCTTGCGAGGTTAGGACAAAGTTTCCCCCTTTTTTAAGTTGCCAAATGTTGTAGAAGTGGCATTTCCATCATTCTAAGTTTTTCTTGTTGCATTCTTGATATGTTGAGTGGTGGGACACCTATTTGTGATGACATGCTAATGATTAGTGGAAGAGAAATTAGTATTGATGAGAGATGAATCTCTACGACAGTGCAGGATGGTATTGTTAGTTGGATTCAAGGTACATTGGCAATCGTTTGGCTGAGTTGGTTTGTCTTATCTGTATTATTAGTATATGGCAGATGTGGTGTGGTACCTTGTGATCCGGTGATTTATTGTGCTGAATGAGGTGGCAAGTCTGGTTATTGATAGTTTCACAGTTATGATGTTTCAATTCTGGATGCTGGGAGTTCTATCAATTTTGTGTGTGTGAGAGAGAGTTTTACAACTGGTCTGCTATTTTTATAGGAGAAGAGGAAGTGAGCAAATGTAATTGCATAAGATTTAAAACTACCTTAGTAATCCTACTATTTTAGTTATGCATATGAACTAAATTTGGCTTTGGACATTTGGATCAAATAAAATATTGGAAAGGAACTAGTGTTAGCCCATAGTTGGAGACGTTAGAAATCCCCATAATTAAATAGACAAATAAAGGACAATTTCCTTTCCTATTCTTTTTTGGTGGAGAGGACTTTTTGGGCACCTTTAGAAAATCGGCCCTTTAGCTCTCTATCCCTTTACTTCTCCTTGCATTGCTACCCATCAATAGAATATCCATGCACGATCTTTTTCTTCTGCCTCTTCAATTTCTCCCACTCATCCCTTTTGCTAATAGGTCCACACTGAAATTAGTTTTCAGTGCTCAGCACATGGTTTTGTTAACTAAGCAAGGATATGACATTCAGTTGATGCATGTTGTAGTTATCAAAATTTGCTGTCATTTGGTTTCATCTCTAACAGAGCTTCTTCTGATGTGTTTGCAGTTAACTGTGCTGACTGTGTATATTTTCCTCTATGGCAAAGCATATTTGGTAAGTCATGAAATTTTCATCTAATAAGCAAATCTTTTAGATTCTCTGAATCTCTGTATGTTTACAGTGTCATATTTCTGATCTGCTTGTAGAATTCTGTGTGTTTGCCTCATATTACGCTGTTCACTGGTTTATCCTGTTTACTATATGTTTTGGAAAGCAGTAAGGGAATTTTAACCTTCAAATCATGTGGATGTTCCCAACTCTAGATGTTCCTTATAATGGAACAAATCATTTGAGTATTAACATGGCACAGATCTTTCATTTACGCTGTTGTGATCAAACACACTCACTCTCTCCCTCCATCTCTGTTGCTTGCTCTATTGGGATATTCTGATCATATTTTCAAAAATTGTGCATGATATTATTTCAGGCCCTATCTGGAGTTGGTGAATCAATTCAAATTATGGCTGAGATATCTGACAATACTGCTCTGAGTGCTGCTCTCAATACACAGTTTCTCTTTCAGATTGGTATCTTTACTGCTGTGCCAATGGTTTTGGGTTTCATCTTGGAACAGGGTTTTCTGAGGGTAAATTTCCCATCCGTTTATGTGTTTTTGTGTGTCTGACAATGCTGACATCCATACTGTGTGATCAAAATAAATTTCCTTTTACATGTTTGGCACCATCACTATTCCATGCAATTTCTGATGTACTCTCATTTAACGATTTTTGAAGGGAAATTTGGGTAAAATGCACCATACTTGCAAGTTTCACAGGTGTATCCTCCTTATTTAGTAATGAAAATGAGTCAACTTTTTGCCTTAAGTCATCTTTGGAGTATTTGTTTTCATTGGATTCTTTTGTTGATTTTATAGAAAGCCCATGGATTTGAGTTTATATAACCTATACAAGTTTGTGACTTCTGTATATGTAATATAGTTATTTTGCTTGTTCTTTTACTTTCTATGTTGTGTACATCTTCTGTACATGGATTGTCGCTTTGGCATTCTATAGGATTTTTATATATCGTAATTTTGATACCCAATAATGATTTGTATTTTCTGTTTGTGCTTGTGTGAGTTAGAAAAATTATGTCATCTGTTTCTATGCATCAGAACTTATTAGGCTTTAAGCCACTTTAGATATTAAGTTTTGGATCAGAAGATGGGGATTGTTATAATTGCTGCTCAGTTTAGGTGGTGTTTTTTTTCAATTGTGGTATCACTGAAGCCACTTTTATATTATTGTAACGTGTGAAGTAGTTTCTGTTTGTACTATTATAGCTTGTCCCACATTGCTAAAATGACAGCTCCCAAACTATCTCGAGTCTTGGAGGTCTCTTCACTCATTGTAAATTAGTTCTAAGTTAGATGCTTGATTTCAAAGAGAGCTCCGGGGAAGTTTGAGCACTAACCAACTTTTCTAATTTCTAATGGATCCTGCCTTTTTTCATGTCATAGGTGCATTTGTGATGTCTGTGGACTTATCTTCTAATTTTTCTATTTATCTCTCTAGGTGTAGGGAATGTTAGAGCTTGTCCCATATTAATAGAATAAGACCTCCCAAGTTACTATTCGAGCCTTGGGTGTCTCTCCACTCTTTACCAATTGGTTTTGAGCTGGATGACCCTTAGACATGATATCCCGTCACGCATGTATGTATGTATATGGGTTGGTGGGGTGTGTGTGTGTGTTTTAAAGAGAGAGAGAGAGAGAGAGAGAGAGAGAGCACCTCGTTGGGATGTTATAAAACCTATTGGTTTTTATATATTTTTTTTCTCTTTGCTATTTCCTTTCATATTTAGGCTCTAAATGGAAGAATCAAATAGGTGCTTGAATAAATCTATTATTAGGGTGTTTGTGCAAAGCATAGTTAGGGTAGAACATAGCCCCTTGGAAGGAGGATTTTCTAGATGATTTGAGCTCAAGGTATCAGTAGTCATCCTCTCTCACACAGAACTCGTGGGATACTATATCAACCATTAGTGTCCAGAAAAAGAAAAAGCAATCTGGCTCGACAATTGACAGAGAAAGCCTTAACCCCCAACACTTTTCAAAAGTTATGTTAAACGTTCATAGAGGGCATATACCTTCCTATAAAACTGGAGCGGTTACAATGACTGGTCGAAGCATGTTTGTTCTGGTATGGTTCAAATTACGCCTGGATAAATTGGGCTGTGGGAGGTTGGATTAATAACTTTGATGAACAGCAGATGTTCCTCGATGGAGCAGGATGAAATATAGACATACAGCTAATCCCAAATGGTTAGAAAGGCTCATCCATGTTAATAGACATCCAAAATAATAGAGAATCACAAATTGGAAGGAAATGATATTTGTGAGAAAATTCAGGGAAGGAAGCAGAAATTGGACGAGGAAAACATGCATGGTCGCCCATCCTTAAATTTCAGAAGTACCCATAGAATGAAAGTAGAAGTGGAACTACCTTTTACGTTTTTGGCTGTCATGCTCCACTGGTTTTTCTCAATTAGTAGATCGTTTCTTTGATTAATTTTCTAAATATAAAAATAGTTCAGCTGTTGCATGAGCAACACGTTTTTAGTTTTTATGTGTCGTATAAACTGTCTTTTACCACTTTTACTTCACTGACTCCTCTTTTTTTTATTGTGGCCGCAGGCTGTTGTTAGTTTTGTCACCATGCAGTTTCAGCTTTGTTCTGTATTCTTCACATTTTCTCTTGGCACAAAAACACATTACTTCGGTCGGACTATTCTTCATGGTGGTGCAAGGGTCTGTTTGTCAACTGTCCTGTCTTTTCATTATCTTCTTTTCTGTAAACTTTTTTAATTAATTTATATTCCTTCACAGTATCAAGCGACCGGTAGGGGATTTGTGGTCCGCCATATCAAATTTTCTGAAAATTACAGGCTTTATTCCCGCAGTCATTTCGTTAAAGGGTCTCTTTCTCTCTCTCACACACACTCACTCACGCACGCGCACACACACACACTAGAGATTATTTACACTTGAAGCAGAGCAGTTATTTATATTTGATACTTTAATGTCTTCAGATTGGAAGTTGTGCTTTTGTTGGTAGTATACCTTGCATATGGATATAATGATGGCGGTGCTCTACCCTTCATTCTCCTTACTGTTAGCAGTTGGTTCATGGCTATTTCCTGGCTTTTTGCACCATATTTGTTTAATCCATCCGGTTTTGAGTGGCAGAAGTAAGCGACACTTTTTCACATTTTGCGCTGTATTAGATTCTGCCTCATTTTGCATAATCGCCTTTCTCGTTGGCCTTTTGTAGGACTGTAGAAGACTTCAGAGACTGGACAAACTGGCTTCTTTATAGAGGCGGAATTGGAGTTAAAGGAGAAGAAAGCTGGGAAGCTTGGTGGGATGAAGAACTGGTATTACTTTCTCTCCCAGATATATCATGTGATTAGTATTCCTGATTCATTTGCAATCAATTATTATCTGCTCTTTATGATTGGGATCTTATTTGGGGCCTAGTGGTACCTTGTGGGTCCAAATCCTATCATATACTACTCACATTATGATGTCCAGCCATATTCTATGACAAGGGATCACTGGGGAAGTGCAGAATGGTCTTCTGTAAGATCAATCGCTTGTTGCTAGATCACCATGCTGAGTGGTATGATGGTCAAGATGCGACTCTCCTTATTTTTTGTTGCTTCCATCAAAAAAATTATTCAATGAATTTCTAGTCTTATGCCTTCATGGGCATATATTTGAGGCTCATATTTTTACTTCACCCTACAGATCGAGAAACAATTCATGCACGGCATGCTATTACAAAAACACAACATTAGTTTACATATGGGGTGAGAGAGGCAGTACACATTCTCCCTCTCTTTCTTTTGTTTCTCTTCCCAAAACCCTTGCAACACTTACAAAGGACTCTTTCTCTTCCTTGTCTTTTCTTTTTTTGCTCTTTAATAGTCATCGGCATGTTTGTGTGTGTTGATTGTCGAATCCTAAAACTTTTTGAGTAGTTGTTGATGGCTGGTTATTAAGTTCTAGTAGATATATAAAGACCTTGGTTTTTAGGGTTTAGAGTGGTGAAGAGGCAAGAGAGGAGTAGTGAGATTGGAAAATAGGGTTAGGGACAATTAGACTTAACCCTCTTTATTACCGTTACCCATGGTAATATTAACTCATAAAGAAGGTGCAAATTAAAATAATACCCTTAATTAAGATGACCTAACATTCTACACTTTCCTTTAAGTTGGAGTATAGATATCTTTCATGTCCAACTTGCATACTGGTGCAAATTAAAATAATACCCTTAATTAAGATGACCTAACATTCTACACTTTCCTTTAAGTTGGAGTATAGATATCTTTCATGTCCAACTTGCATACTGGTGAATGAAAAATTCTACTACTAAGCCCTTTACTAAATATGTCAGCTAATTGTTCCTTGGACGTTACAAAGGGCCTACAAATCAACCCATTATTTAGCTTCTCTTTAATGAAGTGTCTGTCAATCTCAATATGCTTTGTTTTGTCATTTTGAACTGGATTGTGAGCAATATTTATGGTAGCCTTATTATCAGTATACGGGCACATCGATTGATCATTGGAGACACCCAAGTCTTCCATTAAGGTTTTCAGACACATAAGCTTACAATTACATTAACAAAAAATTTATTTTACTTCAAAAGCACATAAGTATTATTTACAATTACATGTCAAAATAGTATAAAATAAAGTTATTACATTATAATCTTTGTAAAAATTACTTCTAAATATTTGGTAAATATTAGTTTTGATTTCTTTAATTAATCACTTCACTTTGTAAATATACTACAGCGATACGATATATATTTTCTTGAAACTAAAAAGAATTACTAATTTTCTTTATTGTATGTTAAAGAACTACCAAAATATATATGTATTATGTTGGTTGAAAATAATAAAAATATTAAATATATTTTATTATAGTCGTATCTTGGCCGTATCCATATCTTATTTTTTTAGATTTTGTCGTATCGCCATATCTGTATCATATCGTACCCATATCTCGTATCCGTATCCGTGCTTCATAGTTCCTCCTATTGCACATAAGCATGTTTTTGCCTTAACGAATGAAAACGATCTCTACGCAAGACCTTTATATGAATTTGACCATACTCCATATTTTGACCTGCAAGAAAATCATAAACTAGTTCCTTTTCTATCAACCTTTGAAACTTAACTCTATCTCCAACACAACCTTCTTGAAAATCCTGGTACTAATCCAACTCTTGCCACAGACTACGCAGTCCTACATGTCATATCCCTTTATTTGGTTTTATGAGCCTTTTTTCGGAGCTCATAAATCTAGGCATCATTTCCAACCGGTGAATATATTTGAGCCACCACCAACTAAATCTTACGGGGTATCTAGCCATAGTGAGGTTGCATCGAGTTGAGTAACTATGACATTACCAACGAGTTTTTAGAGATCCATTAGTTAAGATCAGGTTTATATTTCGGCTTCTTACTTGCATTCATTTAGCTCACTTGTCTGTACTGATAATAGGTATGATTAGGACAAGCCACATAGTTTCTACTATCCAATTTTGCTGGACTGATTTGGAGAGGAGGATTGCATCCAAGAGTACCTAAACGACTCAACCCACTTTTCTCAGTACTACTAGATTTTGCATCGACTCCAAACATGTCTACTTAGCAAATAGAACCTTTCTAACACAACCCGATTATTGAATAGCAATTTTAGGACTAACCAAACACAAAAGAAACCAAAGTAGTAACTAGAAACACAAGACAAACAAATAAAAAAAAATAAAAAAAGCTTAAATCACTCGGCCGACGAAGAACAACCCAGAAAATCACTCTGCTAGTGAAGGAATGTCTAGAAAATCATTGGCCCAGCAAAAAAAAAATCACTGTCGAGAGCAACCTACCCATTATTGGAGCAAAAATCAAATCCGCCAGAGCTCAAATAGTCATTACCCAAAAATTGCCCAAAAACCATTGGGCTTTGCACGAAACTCAACCAGAGCTCCTAGAACACTTGGTTAGCACCCACAGGTTGCATTAGGAAAGTTGGAATGACCCTAAAACTCCGCCGAATAGTAAATCGTGACATATGACCAGTAAATTCTAAAAAAATTCAGAACTCAAAAAAACACATCAGATGGCTCCAAACAACTCCATAAAAATCAGTATCATACTCACGAGGCAAAAATGAGTCAGATAATGTTGAGTTTGGTCGGCTATAGGGATGACATTTTCATTCCGATGATGATGTCAACAACACCAACAGATTCCCAATATTTTATTGAATGATCTAGTAACTTAGAATTTCTGTTAGATCGCTTGGATACTAAGTTGAAATCAAAAGACCTCAGTTTTTTGGTTTGGAGTGGCGAAGAGGCAAGATAGGAGAATATAGAAAGAAGAGATTGAAAAATAGGATTAAGGAGAATTAGAGTTAACCTTCTCTATACTCATCACTGATTCGGTTCAGTCCTTTTAAATGGAAACATTTCGACTGTTTCGAAATGAAATTTTGATCCTTGACTGAGTGACAATAGAGGAGGGAGTATCACATTTGTAAAGAGAGAACTGGAGTCTTGCGAGCATAATTATGTACAATAGGGGGGGACCAGGGACTGGGAAATCAGAAGTGGAGGATACATAAATGACATTCATATCACCAACACAAGTGTAAGAGGGAACATCAGCAAAAAATGGGTCAATATAGATGAGATTTGATTTATGCCAATGTGAAGAGCTAGACCAAATAGAAAAGAAGGAAATATGTTCCATGAAAATAGCATGACGAGAGGCATAATATATCACACCCTACCCTGAAAGGTAGTACATATTGTCTATTTCTAGCGGGTGGACTTCATTAGCGATCCTATTCTTATCTTGAACTTAATCATAGATAAACCTATGATATAATTATCACCAGAATATTCCCACAAAAAGATAACCATATTTACATAGTTACAAACTTGTCTTATATAGCAACTACAACAAACACACTACATTACAACTATACATAATTTCAATTTTGAAAGTTTACAACTATAAGGTACTCATGCCAATGACCCTGACCATCCCGACTCAGCAGTGGACTTCCCAAAAGGTCTAATTACTTGAAAACAAAACTGTGGGGATGAGCACAACACGCTCGATGAATGTACAATTTTATTAAATTGAAAATAATGAAAACATACTTCATACATCATCACACTCATCAAGTATCATCACATAATCATTTGCAACAGTCATATCTAATCAGTTTCATACATTTATATATATGTTTGCCACTAAGGCTACTTATCCGCCATTTAGGCCATATATCCGCCATTAAGGTATAATAACGCCACTAAGGTTACTTATCCGCCACTAAGGCCATACAATTGCCATTAAGGCATATTAACGCCACTAAGGCTACTTTTTCGTCACTAAGGCCATACAATTGTCATTAAGGCATATTAACATGTTCATTCAACAATATCACATGGCATATCTTAGCCATTATCAATTACAAGAAAAAACCTACTCACCTTAAGTTCAGTAATAGAACTACTTAATGTTTAGATTAGACCTTAGGCAAATCTAGTGTAGACGTCAATGTCTCACCTCCTAACACATACCATAGTAGACCACAAACAAGTGACCTAGCACATACATTTAATATTAACCAGACATGTATAAATACATATTCATGCTTATACCAATGCATTTCCACACTTTTTCCTAAGTGATGTATTTTAACCACTCAAATCATTGCCTGACCATTATCTATTTTACTCACTTTGATTCTAGTTTTAAACTTCAATTTATGTAATTGTAGTCAAATAAACCCATAAAGAACTTATTTAAGATCCATTGGATGCCATGATAAGATTTTAGAAGAGTTGGATAGAAGCTTAGAACTCCACAACAAAGTAACCCAAGTTTATGCCTGATGAGCTGGTTCAACATGCTCTTCACTCGGTTGAAACCTATCCAGTGTCTCATTCAACTGGTTCAACACCGGCTTCAACCGGTTAAAGGCCAACTAGAACTCTGATCAAGTGGTTGAACCCTGTTCCAAAGTTTGGAATTCAATTCAAACCTCATCTTCTACCAACTAAACTCAATTTTAACACCACCCAACACATACCCATATCTCAAAGATACCTTTAGAAGTGGAAAAACATAGTAATTCACAAGAATTCCTTACCTTCGTCACAACCCATTTTCTTCAAACTCTTCCGAATTCACTTCCAAGATTAGAGTTTCTTGTTTCCCAACTCAACACCCACAACCCAAAAGCTTGTATCCAACCAACACTATAGATATAAATGAAAGATTATAAACTTGCTTTACTCAAGAAAGCAAAAGAAACCTCTCACCCAAAACTAGTTCGGAACCAAAACGCTCACGTTTTCAAAAGAATCATTTCTTCCCTAATTATCCTTTCTCCCTTGATTAAAGCTAATAAACCCCCCCCTTTTATCCAAACACAAATTGTAGTACCACCATAAAGCCGAGTGTCCTCCTCATGCATGCTTTTGCCATAATTATACAACCCTCCTCCCATTTTCCTTTATTCTAACATTTTAACTCCCAAACTTCCCGAGACTT